GAGAGGGGAGATGGTGCGGAATCAACTGAAAAGGATGGTTTGGCAACAGTGATGACCAGCGGAGGTGGGCAGGCCAAGGTATTGTGTGAGTGTGTGTAATGTCAAAGACAGGCAGTCAGAGTGTGTCCGAAGAATTGATTGTTGCAGCGGAACGGCTGATCTGATCGATCCACGGAAGTAAGCGCCCAGACGGGGAGATGATGCCGAGAACGATGCAAAAATCTGTTGGAAGATATTCCAGGTGGTTAACACACAGGGATACAAAGTTGTGCAATGATGCACAATGGAGGAAAAGTTGGATGAATGAAGAATGATATATAGCAGGCTAACCGCTGGACCGATTCCTTCAAAACCAGGGGTCAAAGTCTGCGACACTGTTCCAAATAGGTTCCCAAAGGAGATTTGACGATGCAGCCCTACAGCAAGAGCAAGAGTCGAAATAAGAGGCAAGGAAAGGTGGATGCAGATGAGCTGAAGGGATAAAAGTAGTCACAGAGGGCTACAGTGAACTGAGGGTGGTCTGAGGCGTGGTAGGGGGATGGATGACACGCCTAAAAGGCCTAATACCAAGGAGATTTGGTCCAGGAACCTCTCTAGACAGAGCTGTGAGTGATTTTAAGGTCACAAAGCGAAAATTGACACTAGAAAGTGGCAGGAAAGGATGGATAAGGCAGATCAAAGCCCGGGGCCCATAACCTGTTGAAAGTGGACACTTTGGGACCTATTTAGACCAGGGGACACTGTCACAGCACTGGGAACAGTGGATGGATACTCAGTTTATTGAGTAGGTAAAGAAAACAGAGTGTAACTACACATACCTGGGAACAGTGGATGGATACTCAGTTTATTGAGTAGGTAAAGAAAACAGAGTGTAACTACACATACCTGGGAACAGTGGATGGATACTCAGTTAGAGAGTCATCCACCCAGTTCCCCTACGCTTTAGGGCGCTTAATAAGCGCCCAAAGCGGAGTCAAAATACATCCAAGAAAAGAAACAACAATATCCAAGCAACTACACAAGCTAGAGCGATGGGACAACCACCAAATTCAACATGTCAATGGTTTGTACGAGTTGTCGGAGTTCCGGAAGTGTGTCAGCTTTGTCTCAGGTTGCAAGAATATCTTTAATACAATCAGGAAGTTTAGTATAAAAACTCCTACAAAGGGCGGTGTCACCCCAATTGACTCTAGTGGCTAGGCGGTTGAACTCTACGATGAACTTCATGATGCATTGGTTGTCACGCATTTGGAGATTGTCGAGTTCGGTTTCCGCATCGCCGACGGAATCGTAAGCTCCGAAATTCTCTCAGAGTACTGTTGTGAAGTCCCGATAGTTTGTAAGCCAGGGCGGGTCTTGGAAGGCATCGTCATCTAAGAGTTCAGGCTCGAAAAAATCTAAAGCCATCCCTTTTAAAAAAGAGATAGCGTAAGTAACTTTCGCTTCGTCGGTGGAAAAGGTCTGAGGACAATCGCGGAAGTGGAGCTTGCATTGAAGGAGGAAGGGATGGAGTTTTCGGGAATCCTATCTGTCGAAGGTGTCGGGTTCGTGGAGCTTGGTTTTTCCAGTTTGACCTTTGTTCGGAGTTCCCTTGTGCTTGGCTATCTGTTTTAAAGCTTTTAACATAGCTTTCCCCTCATCTTCTTCATCGTCATTGTCATCCTTGTTGTTGTTGATGTTGTCGTCGTCACCGGGGTCGTCTTCTGGTTCGTTATTCAGAAGGTTAGATCTGGGATCTGTGATTCCAGTGACAGTATGGGATCTGGTAGAAGGCATAATGAATGGATCAAGAGTTTCATTTTGAATATACTGTTATGAACTGGATTTCTTCTCGTTGGATGTCGGAGTTGTCGGAGTATGGGATTGGAGTCGTAGATCAAGACGTACGGACATTGGCTTCAACTTATAGGTTGCGCCCTCTTGGATCCTTCGTGTCCTGGTATTTTGGAGGGTCGGAATGTCGGAGGAGTCAGACAAGATCAGAGAGTCGGATAGAACTTAGAAATGGAAAGCGAGAAGTTGTCGAGTCAAGGTGGGTCAATATTCGAACTGATTAACGAGTACCTGGAGGAGTCGTATATAACGAATTGATATAATCCGAGTCGGAAAGATACGAACACAGAAATCCAAAACGGAGTGAAAACGGGATCGGGGTAGAAAGTAAATGTGGACATAAGACTGAAGATGTAGATCTTTGATAAAAATGACTAAATATAGATGGGATGGAGATAAGCAAAAACGGGTGGAGGAAGTCGGAAATGCAAATCGGAATATGTCAGAGAAAAGCGGAAAAGCTGAGAATAAATCTGGGTTCTAACACAAAAGTTACTTACACTATCTCTTTTTTAATAGAACTGTTTGGAATGGTTGGAATGGTTCCTCGAGCTTGTGTGATAACCACAATCTAAGTGTAAAATCCTCTACATACTCTCAAGTCACTACCTGAGCATTGTGTTGTTTTAAGCTTACAAAGTGATTACAGATGCTATATATCAGTGATATTTCAAACCACACACTGCTAGATCTAGGTCTGAGTATTTCCTAAGCTCTCAGAGATTCTATTATCTCTCTTACCCCAATATTTACATAAGGGATTTACAAGACCACACTCAAGAGCCTCCAACATTGATATTTCAAAAAACATGCCACGATCAGGAATGAAGGTAATTCTCAACATAGCATTTATATATACACTCCAATACAGAGTACACAAAATCACGACGCCTGTGCGATTCGAACGCACGTGTGCAAAGCACATTCGCTACACTGGACAAATAGCAGGCGAACCCGGTAACCACTGCGGCAAAGCGTCACATTCAAACCGTCATTCACTATCACCATCATAATTCATACCCAGTAAGAAAATAATCACACCCACATGCCAAAAGCGTTACTCTCCATTGTCGTCGCGAAATATGCAGTTCCTGAACAGCGAATACGCTAAGGTGATTAGTATCCCAACATTGATTCTAGATGAGTGCTAGCTTAGGTCTAAATTGGTGGAAACTGGAATGTGGGTAGAAGACACAACTGCTGCGCCCTTAGGATTTAAAACAGGCAGCATTCAAGTTGCGCGCTATCTTGAATCTGATACATCAAAAGATTGCGCCCGCTGTCGAATGATCGCGATCAGCACCTGCTTTACTGTCTCGTGAAGCCTACTATTTCCTGGAAAGATGTCTAAAATGTCCTTCCTCACTGTCACGGGCTGGCGTGGTGAATGCGACGCCATCCATTGCGTAGTCTCCGAGTCAGCGTAAATAACCGATTACGAAGCTTAGACAACTAGGTCACTACAGACCGAAGTCAAAAGTCTTGACCTAGCAGACTGCATGCTGCCTTGCAGAATACAAACGTTACGCCAGGGCCGCACTTTCTACCAGCTCCTGCACAATAAATGAGAGGGGAAGACGAGTGGAATGACAAAAGACAGTGAGAAGCAATATACAATCACCGGGTGGGAAATCACCAGCTCGCATGAGGGTGTGCGAATGTCTAAGATGAAAAGGACTGAGAGTTCGTGAGACAATTCGTTTGTGAGACAGTTCAGACCGTGATCCACCTTCTGGACACCATGCAGAAGTGAATGTTTAGAAAAGTGAGAACTAGCTTGTGATCTCACCAGCAAACGCTGTACGGCCTTGCCTTCATGTCATCATGCCAACTGATTATCTGGGAGGCGTCGAGAATCGCTCCAAGCAGTGGGCTCAGAACGAAATCTGAGGATGAGACACGACCACGACTTGCGGCCTGTCGGGGAATTTGTGATCTACGTATAGGACAGGACACACCTTCAAGTTGTCGACATTCTTGATATTCATGATTGCCATAGGTGAAAGTTTGTGTTAACTAGACGATTTGTATAGATTGCTCATCATCCATACTTCACCAGAGGAAGGTAAATGCTTGATCAATGCGTTCGCGTTGCATTAGAAGACAGGAGGACTTAGCGAGTACTATAAGCCCAGCAGCGCCAATCCAAGGAATTTTTCCGACGAAACACTACTCTACCTGGCAAAACGTGCAATGAACTACGTTGCATTCGACTTGCGAACACATGCAGGCAATATTATTTGTATTTCAACATTTATACGGATGACGTACTCACGACGGGGAATGGCTCAGTGAGGCTTGTGCCTAACCCAGACAACGCGTGGCTCGAGTCGATGACAGGAAATCCCGTATGTACGTACGCAGTGGAAAATGAACGGGGTCACACGCACCTCCATACTACATCGCACCTCATAGTATCATCACTGCCTAGTCCACTAATACCCTTCCACTGTCCAACCCTTCGCCATACGCCATACTTTCAAATGTAACCTGCCGCCATATAGAGATTACGAATTCTTCTGCCTCCTCGACGAGGACCTATAGGCCAGCCTGTGAGTAGCGCACTCGTATACCATAAGCAAGAGGCTCACCGGTTCTAGCCCTTCGACTAACTTTTGCGGACCCTTCTTGTCTTTCAAATGCTCCACAACGAACATGATCAAATCGTCGTCCTCAAGCTCACCCAAGTAGTCAGTCATCTTTCGCTTGATGACGGGTTCAAGTTTGCGGTCCACCAGTTGCTGTTTGGTGTTAGCTAACCAAAACGCATCCGTTGCAAAACACTTACTTCGTTGACAGCATCCCATCGAACCTTAACCTTCCACAATGTCTCTTTATCTGTAGGAACTGTCTCCTTAATCTTCTCAAGTCTCTGCCTTGCCTTCTCGCCACTCTCATTGGCGCTGAAATCCAACTTGATAAGCGACCCCTTGCGTTTGCGTATCCCTTCCTCCTCTTCCTCCTGGCCAAATACAGGCACCGCGGTAGCGCCTTCCGGCGCTGCGGGCGCTTTAGCACTTGGTGCAGGCGCCAGACTCACATTCAGCTTGACTGGCGCGCCATCGTCGAGTAGTAACCCTGCCTTGCGTTGTTCTTCGGCAAGTGAACGCATTTCTTCCATTTGCCGTGCGAGGAATGCTTCCGACTCACGCCGGAGATGCTCCGCTTCTGTGGCCTCAAGGTCACGTGACGCACGGTCTGCCGCTTCCTCCTGCGCTAAATGTCTTCGCCGAGTAGCTCGCCATCGAGATCTATATAGAATCATGTAAAAATCCGTGAGAGATGAGGCAATAAAACATTCTTACCGATCGGTATAAAATAGCTCATCGCTCTCATCATCATCCCATACATCGAGGCGAGAGTGCATTTCGATCTTGTCCCGATCCTCAGCCTCTCGTTGTAACCGCTCTCGTTGAATCGTGCGTTCAAGGTTGGCTATGCGTTGACGTTCGCGTGGTTCATACCGTCGCTCCCGCTATAGGCAGTCGGTTCAGTCAAGAATGAGAACATTAGAGAGGACATACATCTCGGAACGACTCATTTTCATCCCTTGCTCTCGCATCTTTTCTGTCCTGTTCCCGTTGTTCGTCCGTCTTCCCCGTGTCACCAGGCATGTCACTCTGAGACTGGACAAACCCAACCGGTTTATTATAACCTTGAGCGCCTTGGCCATATCCTCCTTGTTGTCTTGGGGATGTTTGCTGTTGCTGACCTTGCGGTCGGCCCCAAACCCGCTCCTTGGGGCCACTCGGAGCATTAGTAGGACCCTTGGGAGCTAGGCTGGACCCTCCGCCACGACCCGCTCCGCTGAATGCAGTTGTGTTGCCAAATGCCATGCCCCGTTCGCGCTCGTCTTTCAACTTTTCTCGTTCACGTTTAGCCGCACGCTCCCGGAAAAGCGCAATCTCGGATATCACTAGGCCACGTTGCGCCTCAGGAAGCTCTGCTTCCTGGAGATCGTGTAGATGTGGGGGGATCACGTAGCGTTCCTTCTCACTACCTCCTTCACCCGCGTCCGCGGAGACCTTGAGCGTGTTAACCACGCTGTCAATTTTTGCTTTGGCTTCCTCTGTTCTTGTATTGTCGGTCTACGAGAGACAAAATGAGCAGAATTAGCAATAATAAATAATAAAATGCCAAAGCCGTCTTACATCCATAGGTACACGTTGGGCTTGATACGCATTGATAAAAGCAGTAGTTTTCTCATCAGCCTTAACCTTGTGGTACGTCAGTCACAATCTCTTGGATGATCAACTGTACCGACCAGTAATTTTTTGTTGGCGCAACCATCCTCTAGTGCTGGTAATTCGACCCCATTCAGAAGCTGAATCGCTCTCAAAGCACCCTCTGGATCCTGAAACTCGGCAAAACCGAAGCCTTGTGGCTTGTTGGCTGGGGTGATAAGCCTTTTGAAGGAATTCAAGGGACCGCATGCCTAAATGACAGCGTTGAGCAATTGTTCATTGCGACGAAGATAACAAATACCCCAAGCATCTCATTCAGATGTGCATCCGTAATCCCGCCAGATATGGAACCAACGAAAAGTGTTGTCGTTCTCGATGTCTGAGCACCGACAAAATGAGGCTGCATATGTTGCTGCTGTGCGAGAGCTGCTATGGAAGGACCTTGACCATAGGGCGTCGGGCGCATGCCCAGTCCCATGCGATTCGGCATTGGCTGCATAGCAAATTCTTGAAGCAGAGTGAGCTGAGGAACTTCTGCTATGAATCAGATGTGATCCTTTAAGCGACAAAGTGGCCTGGCGGTGTACAGTTGCCAGGTAGCGTGTGGCGGCTTATAGGCTGAGTTAGGAGTTACGTAAGATGTCTATGTGAGCATAATTAAGTACCTACTAGACTAATACTAGTACATATATCTGGGAAAAGTTGAAGCAATCGTATATTCATATCATTACTATTCCAGCTTTATAATCCAAAAAAAAACGATGACAATGAATATACCTTGTTCTCTGACGCAGGCTGACTTTCAGGCTATCTCGAGAGTCACGGAGAGTACCACATAATTACTCTTTTTTCTTTGTGAATAAAGTCATCGACAATTGAGAAAGCAGAGTTTTGGCCTTCGAGTTTCCTAGATATTAGCAGGACAACGGCATACATAACGCCTTATCAACGCTCACATCGGGAGTCGCTTCTATTATGATTAAAGCAACGGCTTAGAGGATTCCTTAGAGATAATTTACTGTGAGCGCAATCCCATTGGCTTGAGGGAAAATTCAATGCGCAGGAGGGGGATATTCTTCGAATGCCATGGGGACTTGCATGGTCTTTGAACTTGACCAGACTACCAGGTTCCTTTTGTGTCTAAATCTAGAGGAGAAAAAAGTTGTTGCGAAGGCAGAAGAAAAGGTCGAATAATAGATAGTGGATCACATACCATCCACTGACATGCAGGCTCCGCTCGTCAACGTCCTTTGGTTTGAATTAGCTCTTATGCACTGGGAAGAGTTAGGTTAGATTCAGACTCGATCTGAAATGGAAAAGTCATGAAACATGATTTTCGATGGGAAGGCGCACCAAGTTAACATTGGCCAATCGCAGTAGCTAAAAACGAGAAAAAACTAAAATGAATACACCTAGATCGTTAGTTATGCATGATGCATTGATGGCCCATGTAGTTTCAACACAAATGGCTCACCTTCTCTTCAGCATTTGTGCTAACATTAACATAACACATTGCGTAAATGATCTAAAAATACTACGCCATAGATAATAAGCAACGGTACTTACAATGCTTACATAGTAAAGTATTCTTGATGGTCTGGCAGCGACTCCACTCTGCCCAGTATCCGCCATCTCCGCGTAAAAATCAACCACGTTATTACTACGCATTCTTGGGCTATGCCGACATGTACAGAGGCTTTTGAGATGTTGTGGATACTAGGATACTCCAGATGCGCGCGTCAGTTACAGTCTAGTCACACGTCATATTTTTGGATTTGCCACAATTAGATGTCAA